ACTACGCACACTTAGTATTGGGTAATCTTCAGCACTAGGGCAACAGGAGGTGAATGTAAAGTATTGAGTTCTCCTCTTAGATTTCCTCTTAGATTTATTTGTGAATTGAGAGTAATGCTCCCAACACCAGGCTCCCATGGATGTGTAATAATGGGCCTGATTTACGTGCAATGGCTGCATTTAAGATGTCATCTAGTGGTTTCCTTTAAGATGTTATCTAGTGCTTTTATTTCCTTGGGTCTCTTGCAACCTTCTTTTTTGTTAAAACAGTTCCTCCACATGTGCTTCCTGAACTGTGGTGCTGAAGCCAACGGAGACCGTGGTTCTGTGGTGGAACATGCCATGTAATTTCTACCGTGTGTTAACTGGACAGGTGTCCAACATGCCCAGGATTTCTAAAAATGCATTACACAATTATAGGAAGTTAGTGATGAGAGAACATGGCGCCCATTGCTTCATCTTTCAGAACAGCAAGACAGATTTATGGGAGGGGAAGAAATTAAACTTCTAAGGAGAAGAGAGTAGGAACTAACTCGGAAAATGGCTGCAGGAGCCTGGAGGTTTAGCTCTCTGAAATAGAGAACTTTTCAAACCTCCTTTCAGGTTTTCTTTGTTCCTTGCTTTTTTGTTCCCTAGTGACCTTGAGTATGGGATCAGTGGTTCGTACCTGAGATACACTGAGGCACTAGTTCAACCTAGGAGGAGTTTTGGACATTAGAGGTCAGGCTGGTTTTCTGTCCAGGAGGTGTGAACACTCCTCCCTTACATCATATTTTCCATGCTTCGCTTTGAGGGACAGCTTTGTGAACGTGTGTCTGGCTCAGCTTTTCAAGTCTGGGTTTCAAGAGCTGCTGTGTGAAGTTCCTAGAGCAAGGCCTGGGAATACTCAAGACAGCTACCTGATCCCATTGCATTGTCTTTTGTCCTTTCCGAAGCACAGATTTTGTCGTTCCACTCCGTCTTGACCTTAGTAGGATGAGTTAGAGTCTGAGAATTGCTTTTATTTATTTTTTTTTTCTAAGACCGCTTTCCATTAATTCTGCATTACCTTGCTTTTCTGAGTTTAAATCTTAAAGCCGTTCTTAAAGTACCAAAGAAGGTTTAGCCACACAATTGCCAGTTGACATGGGAAATTGAATGACTAAGCCCCTGCATGTATGCAATAGCCTGTACACTGCTGGGTAGATTGTATAATGGTTCTTCATACATTTAGCAACCAGTTGCCGATTTGTGTACATATGTAGGTTCATCCTTTACCAATTTCCTGTGACTGATAGTTTCCAGGAGATTAAAAGAATAGCCGGTTCCTGTTTTTTCTCTTCTCTTTATTTTTGTCCTTTAGCAAGAATATTTGTGTTGTGTGTGTGTGTTTAATAGCATTCATTCCCTAGAGAATAATCTCAGTCCTTGTTTTAGCTGGCCTCCTTCTGAGAGTGTGTTAAATCTGTAGCCAAGATCACAGGCAGCTCTGGGCGAATCATTGGGCTGTTATTAACCTGCCTCCATGGCAACTGCTGCTCGCCAGCCTGAGGACAAAAAATGTTTTTATTCTGCTGAGTTGCACAAAAGGTTCTAGTGATGCCTTGCACAAAATGGCCATTGAAAGAAGGGGTGCGGTGATGTGTGTTTGTGCTGTACAGTTTCATATTTAAATCGTTTTGCACTGGTGTGTTGCAAGTGGATATACAGCTGAAAAGTTCAGCATGTTGGCCATATGGAAAGTAAAAACTAGCAAAAAATTGGAACTAAACTTACTTTAATAGTACTTATTTTTATCAGCTTGAGTTCACAGGCCTTCAGCCTGCAGTTCTCACCAGTGGGTTAGCAAGTTATTTTGTGAACATGAACTAGGCAAACATCATCATGGGTTTTCAGTTGTATTGTATGAAGATACTTGCTGCCTTGGGGTTACAAAGAAAGATCATAAAGCCAGGTTTCCTGGAAAACTCATAATTTTTTTTTTTTTTTCAGAAATCAAATTATTTGCTTCAGTGCTTGTTTGGGAAGCTTGGTAAGCGTATCTTAGTGCTTGATGAGCTTCAAATTTTAGCTGGTTTTGAAAGCTGCTCTTGGCGGCACTACTGCTTCAGATTTGCTTTAAAACAAAATTATAAAACCAGCTATATTGCTCAGGCTAGGCATGGCTTTAAGCTGCTCATAAAGAGTGCTCACAGTGGGATCTGGGGGCGGTCTGGCAGCCCCAGCACCGTGATGAGGTTGTGCCCTGCGGTTAGCTACCCTCTAGCAGGGGGCTGTGCAGCTCTGCTGTCGATTTGGGTGCAGAACGACCATGTATGGATGGATGCTGTCTCTTGGAAGCGTGCTGCTTTGGGATGCCTCCTGTGCTCGCAAGCTGGCAGTGTGCTGTTTCCCTGTGAACTGAAGTCCCTCTGCTTCCTGCCTCAGTGTTTGTGCAAGGGCGAGTAGTTACTGCAGTTGCACATTTGGGCAGTTTTCTCTCAAAAGAGTGTAGTTGCTTTAGACACCTCTTAGGGCATCCCTTGGCTGTGGTCTGCACTGGTAAAATAAAGGCCACCCAAATATCGTGATGCCTTTTTACTTGGGCTGTAGAGGAAGACATAAAGAGTACAAAGACTCTACATGCAGCTGCCGGTAGCTGGGAGGTGAGAGGGGGTTTTCCACTTTTGGCTTGTGTTTGAGGGTCTGTGGGTTAGTGGCAGATATTGTCACATGTGTGGGTAAGGGATCCGACAAGCTCTGCGGGGCAAATGTTCTACCAGTGGCCTGGAAAGGCAGCTGTGCTGTACTGGGAGGACAAGTACCTAGCTGGTATGCCATACTGGGAGGACAGGTACCTCGCTGGGGGCTGTTATCTTCAATCCTGGGTCAACACCAATTTTTAGTTTTGTCAAGCGGACTGCTCCCATTTTCTGAAACCGGCAGCTTTTCTTCCAGACCTTGTCAGTCCCTTGGTTTTGCTTCCAGCTATTTTTATTTCCTATCTTTGATGGGATCCTTCCGCAAAGCAGTCTGTGGATCAGCATGGTTGGGTGATCAACCTCCTCCACACCAAGCAACGATCTAGCATTTAGTCACCTTCTCCTTCAGGAGTGCGGCCCAGAAGGCCGTTTGTTTTGTGCTGGGCTGTGGCCACATGTGTGTGGAGCATTGCCTGCTGGATCACAGCATGGTTACTCTTGGATAATCCTTCACTGCTAATCCTGCACCAGGTGCAGGCGTTTCTTGGATTAACTCTCGGAGGTTTGGGCCTGACCCGGGAGCAGATGCTGCGGAGGCGAGCCAGCCTCACGTGTACGACTGCCATTGTGTCTGGTGTGTGGCTTGTGAGCTGCATTCAGGCGGCTTGCCCAAAGCACAGGATTGCTCTGCAAGGTCTAGGGTCTGAACTTGACTCTGGAGCTCTGTGATAAGAGATGATTTCCTCTGATAGCATGCATTTGGATTTTGTTTGCCCCGTCACTGCTAAACTCTGCAGTGTTTGTTCATTCAGCAGCATTTTTGTCATGAAGATAGTTCCTCCTGAGTGGACTCCAGCTGTGGGCTTGACTATAAAAGCTTCCCAGGCTCGTTTCTGTACAATTAAATCTTGTCTGCAGTTAGTGAAGTGGTGTTTCATAAGTCATTTTGGTGGCAATAGCTGCTTAAGCCTGACTAGGATACTTGCTAGTGACTTTCTAAAAGAAGAGTTCCCCACTTATGAAATGGGAAAGCTTTCAATTATCAGATGCATATTATTCCCCAGTGCTTCACGGAAGTGCCTGCTCTGCAACTCATTCATTTGTGGGAAAGCGAGGGGGATAAAAATAAACTTGCCTCGTGTGGCGGATGGAGACTTGCTGATCTTTGTGAGGAATTTTTGGGGCGGGAAGATGTGATGTACGTGTTTGCCAGCTGTCTCCCTGCTTTCAAATGCTTTGTCCATTTAGCACCTTCCCACAGAAGCAGTTGGGCTGTTCCTGCGACGTGCAGCACTGGTCGCTCCATTAAGCCTTGCCTTAATGGCTTGTGTTTTGCGCAGTTGTATGAAATGCACATTAATGGAGACAGCTTAATGCCATCACCCTGAAGTAATGAATTGGTATGGATTGCCATTACCATTATAGCGCAGTTAAAAGCTGTGTTTGTTTCTGATTTACATTTCCCAGCCCTGCAAGCAGATGGGTTTTCAGGCCACGCGGTCGGGAGGAACCTGGCAATTCAGCTGCAACCTCCTTATTACAGTGTTTGTAGAACAGCAGTTCTGAGGGGATATTTCGTTAACTCAGACTGCTTAAATGATACATTTCATTAGAACTGCGATTATGCTACTGCAGGCTGTATTCAGGGATCACTGTAAATCCAGTGTATCCTATAAAGCTGGAAATGTATTGTCTGTGTAATACAGCTTCATCTCACTGCTCTCGATAAAAATTGCTACTCTTCGACCCTCATTCAATTTTTCTGTTGGTAAAATATCTGTATCCCTATAACCTCATACGGATTTATGCAAAAAGATGCTTGGGACCCATGGGAGAGTGTAGGGTAGTTAAGTTTTGCAGACCTAAATGTGTTCCTCTTACTTTGTAAGTATCTCTTACGTTGCCAAAAGGCTTCATTGTCTTGAGTATTTGCTTCTCTGGCTTCCTGAATGGTGCCAGTGTAGCTGGTGCTCCTGCCATTAGTAATGCTGAAACGTGGTGAGCTCTGTATGAGCAGCTGAATCGCAATGGATCACTTTAGACAAGTGATTTTTTTCCTTTTTCCATTTCATAGGCTGTCTCATCGATCTCCCCTTGATCCTGTAAAGACAGGAGCACTCAGCCCACTTTCTGGGCTTTGAGTCCATACCAACAGATCTGTAGGTCACTGCTTTAGAGGGTGATGCTGTCTTGCACCACCTATAGATTTTTGCTTAGCGTGTCAATGCCTGGGTACTTTTAGTCCCTGTGACTTTTACCAAGTGGAGGACGGATATTTTTTTTCCTCATAATTTGCTTTTTTGCTCATAATGTTTCTTTTGCTTTCTCTCTTCTGCTTAGGTTGCTTTGAATGTTGCATTAAGTGCCTAGGAGGAGTGCCATATGCTTCGCTCGTGGCAACCATTCTTTGCTTCTCGGGGGTAGCGTTGTTTTGTGGCTGCGGCCACGTGGCGCTCACGGGAACCGTGTCTATCCTCGAGCAGCACTTCTCCACGACTGCCAGTGACCATGCTTTGCTGAGTGAAGTGTAAGTATGCCTCCCACTTCCATTTTTCCTCATAACACCCTCATGCTAAATGAGTAGAGATGGATTCAAACCTCAGTCTCCATCCCCAAGTATTAGGTTGCTTGTTTGTCCAACAGCACTCAGTGGTTTTTTGGGGTTCACGCACAAGGAACCAGAGTGTGTATCCTGCTTAATGTGTTTGTATTGGGACCAGTACTGTCTTCATCAGAGCCATAGACAGTGGGACTGAGTGCACCTTCAGCAGGTTTGCAGATGACATCAAGCTGAGTGGTGCAGTTAGTTCACTTAAGGGAAGGGGTGCCATCCAGGGGGACTGTGACAGCCTTGAGGAGTGGACCCTTGTGAACCTCGTGAGGTTCAAGAAGGCCAAGTGCAAGGTCGTGCACCTGGATTGGGCAACCCCTGGTATCAATACAGGCTGGGGAATGAAGGGATTGAGAGCAGCCCTGTCGAGAAGGACTTGAGGGTACTGGTGGATGGAACACTGAATATGAGCCAGCAATGTGCACTCGCAGCCCAAGAAAGCCAGTCTCGTCCTGGGCTGCATCAAAAGAAGTGTGGCCAGCAGGTCGAGGGAGGTGATTCTCCCCCTCTGCTCTGCTCTGGTGAGACCCCACCTGCAGTGCTGTGTTCAGCTCTGGGGCCCCCAGCACAAGACAGTCATGGACCTGTTGGAGCGAGTCCAGAGGAGGGCCACAAAGATGATCAGGGGGCTGGAGCACTTCCCCTGTGAGGACAGGCTGAGAGAGTTGGGGGTGTTCAGCCTGGAGAAGAGAAGGCTCCAGGGAGACCTTATAGCGGCGTTCCAGTGCTTAAAAGGGGCCTATAAGAATGATGGAGAATGCTTTTCACCAGGGCCTGTAGTGACAGAACAATAAGTAACAATTTTAATCTGAAAGAGGGTAGATTTAGTGTTTGTTGTTGACACAAAGTATGAAGGGATGACAGGAATAACACGGAAGCGTTGTTTTGTCCATCTCCCCTCAGAAGGTGGAATGGTATTGTACAAATGAGAAAAAAGAGAGAGAGAAGTGTGGAAAGAACTTAAAGGTTTGCCTCTGCAATCGTAGCCTTTGGAAATAACCACCAGTGAAATATTTGGGGCTTTTGTGTTCCCGAGGCTTCACCGTGACACCAGGGGAAGGCCTGGAGGCCTGCGTGTGGGCCCGCGCTCAGCACCCAGCCCCACCGGCGTGAGCCTCTCCTTCCGCTTGGCGCTGAGGGACACGTGGGTCCCAGGCTCTGGGCCCATGGTCCGAACACACTGGGCCTTACATGGCCCCTCCAGCTGGGCCGCCAGGCTTCGACAAGGCTTTTGTCCGACGGCAGTCGGGCATTTTGTGCAAGTCGTGATTCACGCGGCGTTGCACTGGTGTTGGGATGCCAGCTGGGTCTGGGTTCGGCCTCTTGCCGGCTGCTTACCATGTTGGGCCGGCACTGGCCCCCGGGCCGATGTGCAGTTGGCCCCTGGAGACATCTCTGTCCCGGGGCAGGGGGGCGGCATAAGGAAGGGCAGCTGAAACCACCTGAAAGCCACCCGAGGGCTCTGGGGAGGGGTCCCGGTGCAGGCTGCGCTCGTCTGTGAGGAGGGGGCCCATGTGGTGTGCACATGTTTTGCTTACCTGCCCCTAAACCCCAGCTTTTAGGGCATTATTTGAAGGCTTTGGTATCGGGGTCCAACCCAACACTCTTAATTCTCTTTTTTTTCTTTTTCTTTTATTTCGTCATATGCTCATGGACATAGACCCGTCAGTTTGCATGCACAACTGACCCCTTCCCGTCCCCCAGGATCACTGATGCCAGTCCCACAGCACCGTTTCAGGGGCTGAACCCCTTGCAGGACTCTCTGTGCCCACGTGGCTCTTGGACTGCACCCCATCAGGGCACCCCCACCCCAGTGCCACCTACCCTCACACCCTGGCTGTGGCTGGGCACTGCATCCCCAGCTGCAGTGTATGAGCCCTGAGGACCCTGCAGTTAGCCACAAAATTGAGCAAGAAACTGTAAGCAGCTTTTCTTCAGGAACCGAGTAACAAAACACTCTGTTCTTGTATCAGTCTTTGTTTGAGCAAAATAGAAGAAGTTGCAGAAGCAGCTGTAACAAGCAGCAAGTTTGAAATTTTGGAGAATTATTGACAATGTTTCCTGTCGAGTCAGCATTACCAGCTGGCAGAACACTAATTCCCACCAAAGCAGCTGAGGTCTTGGACTCTGTAGAGGCATAACAAGAAAGGCAAGGGAGAAGAGGTGCTAGAAAGGGGCAAGTAATTTAAGGCCACAGAGACATAAAATAAATGAAAAATATGATAGTAAGGCACCCTTTGGAATAGATTTTTTTTTTTAACTGGGTTTCGTATTACTAAGTTCTGGTGACATGCATTGAGTCTCTCCTAGACTATTATTGATGGTGAATTGAATTCTTCCATGCTTTCTCAAATCCTGACTTAATTTTTTCATGCTTTACAGCACAGGTGCAACAGATTTATCCTGTTATTTTTAATCAGTTTGGAAAACAAACATAGCACTTCCCACGTATAATTTTAAATGAGCACTATCCTATTTTGATACAAGGGATGTGCTGTGTGTCTGGATAACATTTAACTCCATAAATGGTAGTCATCAATTTTCTTTAAATTAAGCTAAAACATGCAAATGCTCCTTGGAGATCTACGCTAGCAGCTACTTAGTGGAGAGTAGTAAGAATTGAAAAAAACATCTGAGGAAAAATATATTTATCCTTAGAAAATTGGCAGTATGGATGTATAAAATTAATCTCTGTTCTGTGAGTAGCTTCATCCAAAATAACCATCCCAACAATCAAATTATTTTTAAGAAGGCACAAGTTCTGGAGAAGTTGTGCTAATAACAAATTATGACTTTTGGAGACCAGAAGTAGTGGTGTATGGAAGATCTGACATTCTGGTCCTCCAAACCAGTTAGCTTCAGATACTGAATCTGATTGATAACATTTAGAAATTATTCTTTCCATTTACCTATTCTAGCCAAAGTAGAAATACCGTAAGAGAGTCACTGCAGATGGTAGATTCTTAAGGAATCAAGAACTTTCTCAAATAATATCCAGGGGAAGTGCTTATATCACGTGCCCTGAGATCTTCTTCTGGATGTTCCCAGAGTACCTCAAATGGAAGCATTTCCTGAATATACATTTCAGTCTTTTAAAATTTAATTACACTTTGGGGAGCTCAACGCTGCCGTGACTTAAGGCACTGAAGCTACCTGCTCCTTGGAAGTACCCTTTTAGGCTGCAGAGCAAACCATTCCTCCTCAGGAGAAGTCACTGCACATTTGCCGAGTTCCGGATCAGACAGGTATCACTGAATTTACAAGTTTTTGCAAACGTACATTAACTGGGTTTTACAGGTGGAAACTGAATATCGAGGACTGCTTCCTTTCCCTGAGCCGAAGGAATCACCACGGAGCCTGGTAGTTCAGCCAGTAGTTCAGCTCCAGCCTTTGCCATTTCAAAGCCACGTATTGTCCCTGTCAGACATTCCCTGAGTTAGGTGTCAGGATCGATAGCAGGAGAAAAAAAATCTCCACAGTGCAGGCATGAAATTGCAGCTTCAACCTGGCGACTAACACCAGTCGGTGTAAGAACTGCGGCACAAACGGGGGGTGCTCGAGCAGATGCCAGTGGTGCATACATGTGTAAAGCACTACTACATGCATTGCTTACCAGCAGAAGCGGGACAGTCGTACCGGCGCTCTCCTGCAGCCCGCTTGCTTCAAGTGCATTAAGGAGCCTTGTTCCCGTGTTTCTAGGAAAGGAGTTACCTCATACCTATGATGATTTCGGAGGACTGGATTTGTTTTTATAGGACTGAAATCTAATTATATCTTTTGTCTTTTCCATTTTAGAATACAGCTAATGCAGTATGTAATTTATGGCATCGCATCATTTTTCTTCTTATATGGAATAATCCTTTTGGCAGAAGGTTTTTATACAACAAGTGCTGTGAAGGAGCTGCATGGAGAGTTCAAAACGACAGCCTGTGGCCGCTGCATCAGTGGAATGGTGAGTAGCGTCAGACATGGAAACAGCAGCCTTCGTTTGCTAAGAGCCCTTGGGTTTGGTTTGACTCCTGTGGTTTTGAACAACACTGTATTGCCGCCTTCTTTGTTTGACTCCTTATGGGTGGTCAATCCCTGTAGCTGGTCCTTCTTTGAATTTTGAGGATGCTCAGTCAAATCCAAATTCTGCTGTGGCCTCCCCTGTCATAAAGCTGAACCTGCTGGTCTAAACTAAGTTGATGGGAGATGGATAATTTTAAACCACGGTGCGAGACAAAATGGAATTTGTGCTTTTAAACATGGAGCCACACTAGTGATGCCTAAAGGCAGACTGTAAAATGGCTGTGGTTTGCAGAGGTGGTTAAATAACGAACTGTAATGCCTCTGACTTCCATAGTCAGTTCTGCTTGAGGATGTCTGGGTCCTTCAGACACACAGTAGCGAATGAAGCTGCGCAACATCTCTGCACTTGCACCAGGTATTGCTGTCTTGCTTTTGCAGATGGCAGAAGGCATACAGATACAATAGTGAGTCTTTTTCACAAAGCTGAAGCGCTTAAAGCCTTCAAGTTCCAAGCCATCTTCCCTTCAGTGTACTTCTGTATTAGAACAAAATTTTAAACAAAGTTTAACTAAAAATAAAACTTCAGATTCTCACCCACATTGCCCCCTAGGGCGCACCCTGCAAGAGCAGAAACACGACTATGTTTCGGAGACAGGATTTCAAAGCTATTTCTGAAAATCTGAATTCAAAGCTCGTAGTTACGGAGGAAGCGAAGCAGTATGACAGATCGCCCACGGGAGAGTGTGGGTGAAAAGAGAAGAGGCTTTTGATGTGATTGTTGCATTTTAATACACAATCTATATCCTGTACTTAAAAAATATGTACTTTCAGCTGGTTAAATACAAAAGAGATGCATGTTTATTTTCAAGAGGGTTAACCATTTTTGACTGTGCTGTTGGATACTCGCTGCATTTTTCAAGAGCTAATAAAAATAAGACATCCGATTATTTTCCAGTTAAGCAGCTATTTGCTTGCTTTTTTCCTAGCAAGTATGATCTTCACTGAGGAGCAAAACTAGATCTAAAGCAGTGTTTTCCAAAGATCAAAAATACGGTAGAAACATACACATACGTGCATCTCATTAGCGTGGACAATTGCTTGTGCAGTTGAGTAGTTGCAGGCACGTGACTTTCAGCTGCTTATACAAATACCAGTGTGACACATGGAAATATGACAGAAAAATGTGTTTTCATGTTTGCCCATATTTGTCCCCACAACGAAGGAGAAAATTTAGCAGCTGAGTGTGGCTTGGAGCTCTGGTAAGGTGCATCAGTGTTTGGTGGTGACAGTCATGGCATAAAAATGCCCGTATGCCGCTGCGTAGTGGTAGAGCTGCTTAAACCACCCGGGTTAGAACAAAGTTTGTGAGGAGATAACAGTATCTGAACAGACCAGTTAGCTGCAGATGGGTACAGACAACAAGCTTTTTGGACATACAGTGATTTATTTATTTTTTTGCCTTTTTGATCAAGAGCTCCTCTGCTGGGTACAAACAACAAGCTTTTTGGACATACAGTGATTTTTTTTTTTTGCCTTTTTGATCAAGAGCTCCTCTGCTTTTTTCCTCCATTACATTACCGAGCGGAGTCCCTTCCATCTTGCGTAAGGTTATTTCAGAAGACCGACTTCCAGCTTTCCTAAAGTATCTGTGTTGGCTGTGGTAATGCAGAATAGCCATTCCCCACAGGTACTGCATTAAGCGTGAGAGCGAGTGTGGTTTTTCCTGGCTATTTTAGGAGTTAAAGGCCTTGGGTACATCCTCTTGTGCCCACTTCCACGGACACGTCTGCAAACTCGCATTTTATGTGTAGTGGATCTATAGAAATCCTTTAAACTTCAGTCTGTCAGTCCTGGGTCAGGCTGAGACAACCTCCCCCCTCAGAGCCTTCCCCATCCTTGCTGTTCTTCTCTGGCACACGCGTTTCAAGTGAGATAGTACAGCGTCGGCGCTCTGCTGGAAGGACAGCCTCTCCAGTCCACCTACAGTTAAGTAACAGTGAAAAGCGAGCACAGCAGGTGGAACAGCGTTCCCCGACTTTCCCAGTAGGGTCCAAATCCCAGCCTCACCAGGAGGAGGGAGCTGGGAGCTGATGCCAGGGCTACTGTTTCACCATAAAACTTAGAAGAAGAGGGAGAAGGGAAGAGGTCCAGTGGGAGGGGGAAGCTGGAGATTTCCAAAGCAACGAGTGCCATTCTGTATAATCCTACCAAAGAAAATGCATGTAACTGTTGTGGGGTTTTTTTAAAAGAGCAAACCCAAATTGGGAAAATCCATAATTCTCTAAGGTGAAGTAATTAATTTTCTTCTTGTCAATGTGTATTACATCAATTGAATCTTTCTGATCTGCTGTAACAGTCGTGGTATGTTTTCAAAAATAGGTATTCTCAAATGTTGCATTCAAAATTGATTTCAATAAATCAGGGAGTATGGGAGAGCTCTCTGAACACTGAGCCACTCTACTGTTTTGATTTGCAAGTCGTGTAGAAGTGCCAGTGTGTTACAGTTAATTAAAAAAACCTCCTTAAATTGATTTTTGTTGGAATTTTATTGGTTTTAGCCTGCAACCAGCATCTGTGCTTAGCTGAGTATCTTCAGAAATCAATGGACTTCAGGAGGGCAAGCTGTTCGCTCAAGCAGGCTGATGAAAAAGGAAATGTCTGAATTACTTTCTCAGTAGCACTTAAATGACCATAGTATTTGTAAGCAACGAGAATACTGATTTTATTTGTGCTTGGAAATCAAATGTTTTATTACTTGATTTCTGAAAGTATGCTTAAAGGTTACTTTGAAGCTTTTTTAAGGAAAATTCAAGTACTCTCTTCAAAGAATAAACGTGAAGTGCTTGTGTTTTCTCTGCCCAGTTTGTTTTCGTCACCTATGTGCTTGGAGTGGCCTGGCTTGGGGTCTTTGGCTTCTCTGCTGTGCCTGTCTTTATGTTCTATAACATATGGTCAACTTGCGAAGTCATCAAATCTCTTCAGACAAATGTGACAGTTCCAGGGGACCAGATCTGCGTGGATATCAGGCAATACGGTACTTATTTTAATCCTGATTAAATGCTTTATCCTTTCTCCTTGGTCTGTCTTCAGTGGTTTTGTGTCAGCCTTATCAAAAGAACCAAATGCAAAAGCATCTTCTATCTCTGACTGTGCTATTACTTTTCTAATTAATTCAGATTACACTGATCTCTTTCCAGATGCAATCAATTTAACTGAACTGGCAAGTCATTTATCTAAAATGATTTTGTAGTGGTTTCCAATACTGTAATATTAGGTTTAAAAATAGATCAGCCTCAAAATAAACTGCTTCGAAACAGCACTGAGAAACAGATAACCAGGTTCTGGTTTTTGAACCCATTCGCCTACATTCTTTCCTTTCAAAAAGCTGGGTTTACATTTAAATAGGAAGTTAACACCTGAACTCCCCCTCTAACAATTACTTTCAGTTAAAAGACCAAAAACCTCCAATCAAGAGTCTGCCTTAACTGTTAAAGAGCATTAACAACGCTGCTTTCTGATGACACGCAGAAATCTGGGGGGGGGGTGCAGGTAGCAGAGGAGTGGGGACAAGAGCTTAAAATAGGGTCAGGCTTTTCAAGTAGTTCATTCCTTAAGGTGAATTTTTCCTGAAGTTGATCCTTTCAGCTTCCCTTGTGCAGAAAGAGCTTTTGTCGCTGTTACTTTCAGCTTCGTTTCAGCTAACGTTTTCCAGGAATGTTTCTTTCTTTGGACTAAGTCATTCAAAGCTGAGAAAACAAATTCAGAGTTGAAAAGGTAAGAAAGCCTGGGGTTGCTTTCCTATCCGGGCCGTAAGTCCGGTGGGAGAAGATAAGCTAGACTAATATTACAAGCGGGAAGTCCCAGATCAGTTGAACGTTTGCGCCCTGTTTTAGCAACCGACAGCACGAGGCCGGGAAGACGTTTTCTTCAGCAGCAGAGCCGTGGCGTGCAGGGAGAAGGTGTGCTCCTCCGCCTTGCTGCTTCTCCTCGTTGTTCCGCAGCTGTACGAGCGCCCTGTGGGGCTGTGCCGCTCCGCTGATCTTTAGTAAAAGCTCTCGGGTTTCCGTGAGCGATGGGAGGGAGCAGGTCCTCGGCAGGCAACTTGCGTCACTGAACTGTCCTCGCGTTTTTGGGTGGAAGCGGTAGTGAAAAGGCTTCAAGAGTATATTGCAGTTGTGGAGAAGAAGGTGGCTTTAAAGGAAACCCTGTGGGATCTTTCGGAAAGCTGTACCGTCCTGAGATCATTTCAGTGACCTGCCCCTTACGGAGCTGCCAACTCCAGCCAGCCTGAGTTTGAAATGCGAGTTGTACGGGGGAGACAAACTGGTTTTCTCCTGTTTCAAATGGCTTTTGCTTAAGTGTTACATCTGTTAACGGGCCTAAAAGTTTAGGTTATTTTAAACCTCCTAGATCCTGTGAACTTTGCAGCTTTTTCAGTCGTGTAAGAAAAGTAATTGGGAGTACATGAGCTACGGCAGACCAAATTTTCTCGTAGCAGTGTTCACTTAAGGCTTTTTCACCTATTGGAATTAAAACAGCAAAAATCCTTCTGTGATTCTTCCCTCCAGCTCCATATTCACACTCTTCTACAGTAGTTCCTCGTTCAAGTCGAACTTAATCTAGTAAGCAAGTGCTGTCCTGACAGGTGCCAAGTACCTCTGAGGTGCAGATCGTCCCTTTCAGTGCTGAGTGGCGGAGTAGGCAGTATGTGACTGGACCTGAAGTGCAAAACCAACCGACCATTTGGCTGCCATATGGGAAAACCACATCTGAGAACATGCCTTGGCAGCAAGCCTCGGTGTAGGGAGAAGGCACAACTTGAGTGAGTTGTTGTAATTCCTCCTGCCAACTCGAAGCTGTACTGGTCAACGTGCGGATGCCCAGAATGGGAACACAACTGGCAAGTGGGCGGAAAAGATGAGCGAGGAACAGAAAGCGTGTGTTGATTGCTAAAATTAGTGGTTTCTTTTGCTGTGGTATTGCAGGTATTATCCCTTGGAATGCTGTCCCTGGCAAAGCCTGTGGCCCGATTTTAGAGAACATCTGCAACACCAATGAGGTACAGACGCGTAACCCGTGTGCACCTTTTGCCTCCAAGTCACTTGGGGACCATGTAGTAACTAACTTGATGACAGTTTTTGGAGAAAACTAATACTAAAAGTATAAAGAGATTGATTTAAACACAACAACGAAATAATTCTGTGTTAGGTCATCCAGAAAATGAAAATTATTTCAGAGCATTTTTATTTTGTAAAGCTTTGAATACCTTGCTACAAAAATCGTTTTGTTATGCTTATTGTCTAGAACACTTGAAATGCATTTTATCCTCGATTGCTTCAATGTTCTTAACATGTTTTTTCTCTAGTTCTACATGTCTTACCACCTGTTCATTGTGGCTTGTGCTGGAGCTGGTGCCACGGTCATAGCACTGGTGGGTAGTGGCTTTTGTTGTTTTATTGTGTAACATGTTCCTTTCAGGTTTAAGATGCTTTAAATTTGTGTATCTTAAAAATAGTGATTAACTAGACATTAAAGAGGGCGAGCTGTAATCGCCATTATCTGCTGCGATGGCTTGGTCATTACAAGTCAGCAGGTCCCGAACTTTTGCTTTCAGAAGTCATCTTAACCCGCCTCCCCCCATCTTTAGACAAAAATTCTTCGCATGCCCTTTGAAAACCCTACTTCTACCCACGATTTCTGTTTGTACGTCCACTATTTCTTTTCGTTTTGGTAGTTTTATTTGATCAGTCGCTTGTAACCTCTTGGGTTTCTTTGCCTGGACCCAGGTGGTTTGACTAGTGCAGCTCTGCAGCGCCAGTTACAGGTAGCAGCTGGGAAAAGGGACGTTAACACAAGATGACTTGCTTCATATGTCTTAACGCTTCCTCCAGCTGCCAGCTCCTAACCTCATGTCAGCCAGATCCAGGTGTAATACTCACTGTTTAGCTGACAAAATACCCTTAGGTCTGTACGTAGGTTATCCTCCCCGGATAAATGGCAAGTGATTTATCTTGCATCTTCACCCTGGAAGAAGCTCAGAATAACGTCTGTGTTAAAAGTGTCGACAGTTGCCCAAGAGGGCTTGAGCCGTCACCTTGTTGTATCTTACTCTCCTGTATTTTGTTCTCTTCCACCAGCTGATCTACATGATGGCTACTACATATAACTATGCTGTTTTGAAGTTTAAGAGTCGGGAAGATTGCTGCACTAAATTCTAAATTGTATAAGCCCAGTAAAGAGCTGCATTGCGTAGCTTGAAATACCACTGACACCCTAGGCTAAAAGTCTAGCTCTCTGAATTTTGTTACAGTAATTGTAAATAGCTTCAGTAAGCGTCATTTAGCTCATCAGATTAATAAAACGACTTCTTGTATATGATGAACTATGATGTGGACGAGATCTGGCTATTTTTTCATGTCGAGAGGATTCAGTTACTGTGGGGGTGTTCATAAATCATCCTTCCGAAGATGGGAGGCTTCCATTTCGAGTCTCCGTTTGCTCTCTAACAGTCATCTCTCAAACGAATACTGGAACAGTTCAGGGTCAGAATTATTCAGTTATTCTTCAGCCTGAAGACCAAATACCACGCTGCCACCACCACCACCCACCCCACCCCACCCCGAGCATACAAAACGTATGATACAAAAGAAAAGGAACAGTAAAGTAGTGCCAGTCTCTCTTGGCAGAAATCAGAAGCCCAGGTATAACGAATCAGTTGGCTTGTATTTCCAGCGCACGGGTGATAAAGTTGATTATTTTCTTCATTGTTAAGTACCTGCCACATCACGCTCTCTCTGGCAGGAAATACATCCTTGTATTAGCTCTGCGTAAAACAATCACATTCTTTCTTTTGGACCCTGAACTAGTAAGAAACGGCGTATAAATAGCTTCTGTTCCTGTAATGCTTGCACTTTAGTAACTGATTTCTCAGTAGCCAGATCTCAAAACTGTAAGTATGACTGCACGGGAAGCAAAACCATGCATAGATCACAGAGACTTTTTTTACACTGTTGGGATTAAGAAAGAAAAAAAGAGAAGAGAATCCGTGTTTTCAGATGTAGATTTTTTGCATGAAGTATGGTGAAAAGAAGTTGGGAAGAGAGGAATGCACAGACTAGAAAAAAATCCACACAACAATAATAATAACAAAACAAAGCACCAGTTGCTACCTATGCTATAAAACTCTTCACCTGAGGTTGGACAATGGAAGTTTGAAATGTAGTTATAAAAATATACGATTTAAGACTTCTTAACCCAAAAAGTGCATGCTTTTGCTTAGTTTTGGACTCATGTTTTGTTGTTTAATTTTTCAATATGTTAATGTAGCCTTGTTGACGTAAATAAAACCGTTTACAGTTTCAGGCTTTTTCCAGGGGGAGGGTGGAATTCTCATCTGCTTGTTCGGGGGAAAAGAATTACCAGGATCCGGGCTTGGCTATGCATAAACACCACCACCTTAGAGAGCAGTTCTTCTGAGCACCTCCTGGTTTACAGATGCCATAAAGTGCCACGTACAAAACAACTTCTTTCCTGCTTCCACCCCCCCCCCCCCATTCTGCATTTTAATTGACCCGTACGACTCTGTAGCTCATTTTGTTACTGTTGTTATACTAACTTCCTCTAAATTGTGAATAACCAACTGGAATATTAGCATGCCAAATTCTAGAGATCTTTGAAGATAGCCTCTGTGCTTGTTTGAATAACAGAATGCTTATTAACGTAGAGTAACTTTTTTTTTTTTTTTTGGTCGTTATTTTAAAGAGCGTCTATTAATCTAACTAGCAGCTTGCTTTGCCTCTTGACATGCTCACTAGCCATCATGCTCACCCTTCTCTTCCAGATCCACTTCCTCATGATACTGTCTTCTAACTGGGCCTACTTAAAGGATGCAAGCAAAATGCAGGCCTACCAAGATATCAAAGCAAAAGAAGAGCAGGAGCTTCAGGATATCCAGTCTCGGTCAAAAGAGCAACTCAATTCTTACACATAAATGTTTGCCACAGTAATTCAGCAGAAGAATTCTGTAGCTCTGACAAATCAACAAATAGCTGCTCTGCAGTACAGATGTGTGTGTCTACCAAACAAAATTAGAGAGAAGTGCAAAAGCTTCACATTCCAGCTCCTGGAACACATTCATAGGGAAATCTTCCCACGGGTAATCTTCCATCCTTTCAGACAGAGCATGGAGGTTATTCCAGGCATTTTAAAAGGCAACACTTCACAATAAGTGACCAAATTAATTCTTCTTCGAGACTTTCGGTATTTGGTATTTGACGTGTCCTGCAGCATGACGTCCTGCACAAAACGCTGGCGGGGGCTCCAGACCAGCAGGCAGCCCTGAGGCAAAGGCACGTGCCCTACGGCCGGTGTCTCCGTTTCTGCCCCCGCGAGGCTCCCGGCAGCCCGCGCTGAGGGGACGGCGGGGTCGCAGCAGTGCCCGGGCTGCAGCGGGGCCGCCTTTGCCCGCCTGTCCCGCCGGGCCGCAGGGACAGCGCTCCGCTGCCGTGCCACGCTTTTTTTTTTTTTTTATGGCGGAGCAGTCGCGCTCCTGAGCTTACCTGAGTGTTGAGCAGACGTCCCGAGTTTTAATCTTTTTCTTACCTAACTAACTAGTGGAATGTAGGTCCCCGGATCTGGATAATGATCCCCTCCTTTGAAAATAAATGTCAGCTTTGCCTTAATATTTATTTTCTATAAATGTCTTAGCATTTATATAGCGGCAGGAGACCATTATCCTACATTTTAAGTAAGTGAAAAGTGTTACCTTGTTAAAATGACACTGATCTGACTCTTCCAAACGAGCGGATGAGAAAGTTTGCAGAGTTTTACACAAACAATAAAAATTACAGCCATAAACCAGAATACAGGATGTCCACCTTTCTCTATCTTGGTGCTTAGCAAATTTATAGTCAGTGCTTACGTGTTTTCCTTTTTACAAATTAATTAGCACATTAAGAAAAACGTGGTGTTCAGAAAAAAAAAAAAACAACAACAAACCGGTGCCATTTTGAAGTAATTTCCCATAGAAGTCTGCCTTCTAATTAATTACTGTTTTTTTTCAGAAGCATTCAGTGATATCTTGAGTATTAGTGATGGTATATTTGGTGTTTGTTCTATATGATATATATATATATAAATGTTGGGGGGAAAAAGTAAAATACAGGAGTCATTTGAAAAAAGTAAATAAATATTCGCGTCATACCCATGTTAAGCTGACGTGCGGTTTGATAGTTTTGACTGTTTGCTGAATATAAGTCCAAGGAAGCACAAATTTCTTCAAGTCAGTATTAAAAGAAAAGGCATTTTTTGGGGGGGTTATTAACTTCAAGCCTAATTTTTTCTGTTAAATATTGAAGTCTCATTTGACAGTTTCGAAAAAGGGGCACAGTTGATCAATGTAGAGCAAATATGACAAAATAGCCTAGTGTATGTTCCTACCTGTTGCATGAAGGAGACATTTCTACAGCAATGCAGGTGATGTTCTAGCCCAGTGTTTGCATAAGGGTAATAATAATGGAGGCAGTGTCTTAAAGCCTAATTCTTTTCTAATTCAGTGTAGCTATTACTGGGAGTTTTTGAAGTTTTGTTTAAGTAGTCTAATATTTTTATGTAAAGAGCATTAAATTTTGCTATGTATAAATTTTTGTAACCTAACAGTGAATCAATATTTTCTATCAGTGCCAAGGGCTTCCTGTAGTTACATCCAAGTGTTAAAATAAATATTTGTAGATAATAGCCAACACTTGTGTACGCTTATTTGAAAACAGACCTACAGCTGCTCCGCACGAGCGCATCTCTCTGTGCTTTTTGTCTCTGTCGGAAGTGAAACACCTTTTGCTCCCTCGTCTCCCTCCCCTCGCTGCTGTAGGGGCAGGGAGGCCCCGTAGGTTTTAACGCTTCAGCATGGGAAGTCAGCGAGTGTTTCTAGCGTCAAGTATTGGCAGTTGCTCCAGGCCAGCATCACGCAACAAGCACTCTCCGTCCCGGTCCGGACACCAAACAGAAGGAGTCGCTCAGAAATTTTGTAAAGGCCGGCGCCGCTGCCAGACCAAGTTAAGCGGCGTGTAAAATTAGACTAGCCCCCAAATCACATTGTAGCTGAATTACCAAACGCAGAGTTTGTTTCTGTCACGGTTTTGGTACGTCACGTTTCAACATCCAGTGAATTCAAGACAGAGCTTTGGTATTTTGCCCCTAAATTCTGTCAAACTTGGCTTCATGTTCCTGTAGTTAGGTCAAGACGAGCAGCCTCAAATGCGGTGCAAGTTGTAATATATGCTGCCACCCAAAATCACTTCATTGGTTAAAAAATACTGTATTTTATACTGTAAATAAAGTTTAATGATCTTGCCTATAATCTACCTACAAAATACAAAGCTTAAATAAAGATGAGTTAAATAGCAGTTTTATTTGAATCTCTCCATTCTGGGCCGGTCAATACGAACAAGGTGATCCAGGAGATAAAGCTGCTTTCAGAAGCGTTCGCTTCCCCTGCCGTAGCGCTGAGAGGGACACGTCAGCTTGGGTCTGTCACGCTCTGCTCTCTGGAACGGCACAAGCCCAGGGTCTCCTCGGGACACCTCTAAAAACCAGCGCTGACGACTGAATTTTTTGTTGCCTGCGCATTTACTTTGACCTGCAGTTTGTAACAGCTGGGGGTGGGGAAGGGGGAAGGGGTTGGGGGCACCACTTGAAAAGCTGCCAGAGTTTATAGGGGTTCAGTGCCAAAGCCGAGCTACCTGCACACACCCATCCACTTCTTTCTCTCACCCGACTTGGGGGGCCTCCTTCCGGATTAACGACACACGTCAGGGCTCGCTCTGAAGTCAATGACTGAAGTGACGAAACAGCTCAAGCTCAGCTTTATTAATTTATAATTACACAGCCTGCAACCTTGGTGCCTAACAGTTAATACAACTTTTTACAGGCAGAAAGCCCCTTTAAAAAAATTTTAATCGTAAAAATAATAATAAAAAAAAAATCAGTAGCTGTTGTTCACCAGAAGTTTTCATCCACGTCTCCATGAGAAATGCCTGCAGTGCTGTATTAAGAAAGGGGTATGAATACAAAGTAGCTTCTTACCTTAATTCTTTAATATTAACCTTCTTAAAACAAGTATTAAGTTGCCTATGCTGCAGTTCGCCTGCTGTTCCAGTGAACTGGCGGAAATAAGCAAGGCTTTAAGGGTGAGGATTTGGGCCTTCACTAACAGGACGCCACCTCGGATCTATCAAAAAGCAGTACTTTGTGTCCACGACGTGTGTCGTGCTTAAACAGTGACAAGAGCGTTACACAGAGACCAACTCAGGAGCACAAGGGGAGGGTCTGGCACGTAGAACAGCACTTTAAAGGCCCAGCTAGTGCTCGATCACTGCTGCAGTTACAGTGAGCTTTTTTTTTTTTTTTTAACTGCTGCATATTTTTTGCTTACATATATTTTCAATTCTACATCTTCAAATAAATGGAAAGATTTGATGGAGGGTTGTTGAGGGGATTTTTCCCCTCTGCAGTAACTACATACCCTTATTTATCCCTATCTAGAGAACCAGAGGAGATGCCCTAGCTGCGGTAATTAAGTGCAGGCAGCCAAAAGCACTGGAAAAAGTGCGTGAACGAATTTGTTAGAAGTCCGCAGTGCTACTGGTAGATCACAGCTAGACTCACTGCTAATGACAGACAAACCTTCACAGGGTCATCACCCAAGAAGAACCCCTCCTACTTCAGCTCACTGTGAAGGAACCGAGGTGCTGCTCAGGGGCCGATAAAAACTTCTAATTGCTACAGCTACTGAAACAGCTCCTGGACTGGAGTTCCCGGATCTGAATCCCACACGGTGTTTATTTTGCTTTTTAAGGAGGCAGGTGTCTCTTAACCATAATTCATACTATAACTATTTATTAATATAGAGTAATAGAAGTGATTAATAGTAACATATGAGCCTTACCTGTCATCCTTTTCACTAGAGGGAAGGCCCTCTGTCAGTGATACTTCTCCTATTTCTTCTTTTTTTGAATCCTGGAAGCCAAAAGGAAAATCCACTTTTTGTAACTGGTTCTTAAGTCAAGGTTTAAGTGATCTAATAACAGTTACCAGTATTTCAAAGAACTTGACTGAAAATAAAAACCTTCTGAAGGAGCAACCCTACATTGATGCAATACTACATTGCATCTACCGTAATGATGCTTTGGAAAAATCAGGTTTGGATGATGCCTGAACACAAGTATGCTGCATTCTTTCATCAAAGTAACGTTCACCCGTGTACATACCTGTTCTTTAAGGTCAAATTTTCCGTTTTGCCAGAATAAATTCTATCAGTTGTGCTAGCGGAACACAAACTGACCTGTGTAGATTCAAACTGTATTTAAACATAGTTTAAACTAACAATTGAGGACGTTTAAATTTGAATTCTGCCCTAGTACCTAAAAACCTACCAAACCAACCCCCTCTCACAGGATACCAGAACACACCCTTACAGAAGAGTTTTCAGGGTTTTTTTCTTTTGAATCAACACATTTTTGCAATACAAATCCAAACACTCATCTCTGCGGGTTGTTACATAAAGCTTCTGAATGAAGAACAAACGAGAATATTGCTTTCATTCTAAGCATACAGCAGACACAAGTTCAGTCAATAATATTTTTGGGACCTATTTTTGAGAATAATCACCTTGTTTGCCAGTTCCTGCTCTCTGCGCTGCTGAATTATTCTCATGTATTTTTCTAATGGATTTGGAGTAGCTTCCTTTACATTATCTTCAGCAGCAGAATTACTGTGTTCAGATTTTACCCCCTCGTTATCTTCTTTTCCTTCATCTATTTTCACTGAGTCTTGGATCCACTTTAAGACACAAAATCGACATTAAATACCGATCAGCTCAAGAAAAATACCTTTATACCTTAATACCGGCACTCCATGCAGGATTTCATGTTAACCTGGGTAAAACGCACCAGCCTAAACAGGATGAAACTCATTGCACGCGGTTCAAGATGAAAGGTGAACTTATTGCTTCGGTTCAGAAAGTGGCATTTGAGAAATCCCACTGTAACCCTGCCTGGATGTCTGGGAAGCTCTGAGGCCTGAGGCTTCTATGTGTGACATCGACGTGTGGATGGGAGAGGGTGGGTGAGCTGAGACAGGCATGCAAGTTTCTTGAAGGGCCTGGTTTGCTGGTGCGAAGGGTAGCGTGAGCGTGTCTGACGAGTACCACCACACTGCATCAAATACACCAAGGTTTAAGGGCGGGAAGGGGAAGACGAAATGGGAGGGAGCAAAAACCCAGTTTTT